TTTTTTAATATTACTACATATAATATGATGATTCTAAATTTGTATAAAGAGCGCTATTTATTTATTAGAAGGATTAGGAAATGATTTGACAAGTTCTTAAAATTTCAAATGTGCACCATAAACAGGCAAATAATAGAATCTCAAGAAAACAAATCACAGCACCAGATGAAATGCAAATAAAAACAGTCTCAAAATAAGAAACTCCTTGCAAACTTTTTCTAGGGCACAATCTCATATTTAGTTTATTGAAGGACATTCAAGCCTTTTTCTTTGCGAATGTGAGGAAGATTGGGCGTAACATTATTGGCGTAGACGATGGAGCATCCTCCAAATAAGATAGCACCGAACACGCAATGCCAATCCATCGGTTATAATCAAGTGTAAGATGCACAACGAATACCATTAAACCAAGTCCAGAAATGAAGTAAAGGATCCAACTGGATAAGAATTCAAAGATCAACACCGAAGCGCAAATTAGAGCAGGAAACATCAGTCCAAGAGAGGCGAAAAGTGACACATTCCCAAATACCAACTTTGTTAGCCGCAACCGGACAGACTCTTCCTCTGGTCTTGCCCAACATACAGGAAGAATAACCGAAGCGTAGAAGAACATAGACGAAGCGCATAAACATGTTCCAAGTGCAACGGACAGAAAGAAAAACGTATACCATATCTTCCTTGAGAAAAAAGGAGTATTTCTACTATCGATATTCCCAATAGGAAGGGTCATACCTCCGGTGATCCCTAGGAGGCCGATAACCAGAGTTGCTACCACTACAATTTATTTGCCGTAGCTTGCAGTCCTGATATTGATTCCCTTGTGCACAATGTCGTGGTGGTCAGATAGACAATTCTTTTGGAGTCCAAACCATCTTTGTTTTTCATTGTTTTCCATTGCAGGTGGACTATTTTCTCCACATCCTGTTGATAAAAGTGAAGACTATTAGTATAATGAGGAAGATAAAGAAGATAAGTATCGAAGTAATTATTAAAAAAAAAGTATTATAAATGCATTAAGGAACAAAAGACAATTAAGTAAAGATTATTCATAAAAAAAGGCTAACCGTGCAGACAAGCATACGTACCTGAAACCATTTCTCCTCACTACTCATTAGAACATGGTTTGTTGAAAATCCGGGTTTTTTTTCAGGTTGTCCCATCTTTCCAGCTAAGTGCAGAACAGTGTTATGCTCAGAATCAACCAGTTTTGTCATAATATTCTTTGCACCCCGCTTGCTTAATATTAGTTTGTAGACAGATTTTTGTCGATGTAGAATAGCAATGTGAAGTAAGCTTTGGTTGCTAGAATTCACTTCAAATAGCAAATCAGGATGGTACTTTAAACAGAAGTTCTAAAATATTAGTGTTTCCTGATTTTGCTGCATCGAACATTGCTTTCGACAATTGTGCATGGTTGATAGTATCTTTCTGCTTTTCCATGCCTTTAAAAACAGAATCTACAATCTCTCGATAGCCATAGTTTCCTCGCAAAGGGCTGCCATTGAGTTTAAATTAATTAGCCCCATTTAGTTTAGGTGCTATTTTAGTCAAATATATTGGGATATGATTCTTATTGAAATAATAGTTGTAGGGGTTACATCAATTATTGTGTAATATATGTGAAATTAGTTAAATTATTATCATATCCTAAAATCTGTTTTTTTTTTCTCTTTTGACTTTATTAAAATGTATTCAATTCAATAAAAGTATATTTAAACTTTTATATTTAATGCGTAATATATCCAAACATAATATATATATATCTATTAGGTTGACTTACAAGGTCTAACAAGAGGTGATAATGAAATGTAGGTATTGTTTGGTAGAAGGAGAGATTATGGCC